TTAAACTTATTGATCCTGTCATGTGAAATGACTTGAAATGCGTTTGGTTTTATGTTAACTTTGGTGAAAATAGTTTTGTGATTTTTTTTAACATATTGACTGTTAACTCCTGATTGGCAGTTTTTATTATGATGCCAACTCCATGTTTGGCATTTTCTGATAGATTTTCATCAGCAGGTGCCAACGAGTTTATTCACAGTGATGTGTAGAGTTTTGGTGATGCCCTGGGGTAACTCCTTGATTTTATGCCCCAAGTCTCTAGTAGGGGCTGGAGGCTATATAGCCTAGTACTGAGAAATGTGAGAAAGCAAAACATTTTAAAATTGTAAAAACAGATGAAACATGAAATAAACACTTTCTTAAATATAAACTAAATTTTTTATTTCACTCTTTGATTGGATGTCCTCGCGATAAAGGATACCCAAGGTCATTGCACCCTCTGCACCTCCTTCTGTACGCTACTGTTTGTCAGATCTCGCAACCTGACGATACAGAGTCACAAAGAACTTTACCAAATAAAAGAAACCACATCACCTGGGGACTTCCAGAAGCGGCAAAACCTAAAATGGAAGCGCATATATAAATAGAAGGGAAGATTAGATAATCAAGATGTTGACTTTCCGCAGCGTTTCAAGCAAAATATTAGGAAGGAAACCCCCATCAATGGTAGGAAGAGCGATAATAGTTAGTGGACTTGAAGAACCTATTTACAAAAAAAAACAAAAAACTTGAAGATGCTCCCTCCCATTACTATAATCTTAATATGTTCAAGTCTAAGGTTAACCGTTATCTTCCTAACATATCCGCATAAATTATGCCTCTTACACTGTAACCCTTTACCTAGAGTGGTTCCCGGGCTGTGTACAGGTTGAACATCATTGTAAAACAAAAAACAATGCATGGCATCCAACTCGTTCAGAAATATCTAAACTATCAGCTATATACAAACATTTTCTCAGATCAATGATCTTGTGGATGCATCATCTAAGTCTTAAAGAAGGTAATCCTTCATCTGCTCCTATAGAGACTAGACTAGACTGACACTACATAATCACAAAGATCTTTACCAAATAACGAAAACCACATCAGTTGAAGACATCCAAAAGAAACAACAACTAAAATGGATAGCAAATGTAACTCGAAAAGAAAATTATAATATTTTCAAAATGTTGACTTTCCACACAACATTAAACAAAAGGTTGGGAAGGAAACTCTCATCAATACTGTAAAATGCGATAACAGTTTGTGGGTTTGATAAGACTATTTTCCAGTAAAAAAAAACTTCTTAAAGAGAAAGATTTTTATAAATTTCAACCGGCAGTAAGGCTGACTGCTTAGTCAATGAATGCCGATGTTTCCTGCATCGAAACGGTCAATCTTACCATTACTATTGTTACTTTTCTTCTTTGTCACGAAACCCTGTGCGTCTTAAATGAAAGCTATCCGACGAAGAAAAATGTACCTGGAAGCAATAATTATTCCTTTTTTATACTAAAGCTCACCCAATACAAGGCTCGAAAGGCACTCAATATTGACGGTTACTGTCAAAATGTTTATGATGACTGAGGTGTGTGAGATGAATAAAAGGGGAGGTGAGAGGAAGTGAAGATTATGAGGATAAGGAGGATAGATAACAATTGACCCTTGACTTGAAGAGGTTAAGATTGTTGTGTTTAAGGGAGCATCCAAGCGGGAGTACCTTCAAAATGAAAAAAAAACAACTGTGTGCAAATTGTAGTGTAGAGGGGTTACTATGATAAAGAGTAACAACAGAAAAGGGATTAGGAGTGATAGCAAAAAACGAAATTTACCAAGATCTACAAAAGAAGTTGGGGAGAGCCATAATCGCCCACGTCCTAAAGGGACACGGCACATAGAAGAAAAAGTTCGAGTTTGTGTAAATCGTTGGTAGAACAGAGATTAGGGGGATATAGCAAAATGAGAAAATGTACAAAGGGTTAAAATGGTCAGGAAGTTGTGGAGAGCCATGATCGCAAATATTCTGATGGGTCAAGTCACATGGAAATTTGAGTTTCTTTTAAAAGCTTGGCAGAACAAGGATTGAAAAATACAACAAAATTTACTAAGGGCCATAATAGTAAGGATGTTGTAGAGAAGCAAAACGAGGAAAATACTAAGGCTTACAATCGTCAGGAAGTTGTGGAGAGCCATAATCGCCCACGTCCTGAAGGGACACGGCATATAGAAGAAGTTCGAGCTTGTGTAAATCGTTGGCAGAACAGGGATTGGAAGATACAGTAAAACAACAAAATTTACTAAGGGCTATAATGGTAAGGATGTTGTGGAGATCCATAATCGCCCACGTTTCGAAGGGACACGGCACATAGAAGAAAAAGAAGGAGGAGGAGGCGGAGGAGGAGGCGGCGGAGGAGGAGGCGGCGGAGGAGGAGGAGGCGGAGGAGTTTGTGTAAACGCTTGACAGAACAGGGATTGGTGATACAGCCTAACAACAAAATTTACTAAGGGTAACAATGGTAAGGAAGTTGTAAAGAGCCATGATCGCCCACGTCCTGAAGGGACACGGCACATAGAAGAAGAAGTAAGCGGGCGATAAATCGCTTCTGCTTTTCCCAAGCGTTTCCGGGAAACGATTTTAATCAAAGTTTAGTGGTTGTTTGCCACCAACTCTTATCGAATCCAATGCTTACATCCGTTTGGAAAAAACTGATGAATTGGCCAGACTCTGACCAGGAAGATCTCGTTCTAAATGTTGTTTCGCACTGTTGTTCAAGCCGGAAGTTAACGGCGAAGTCAACACTGTCATCGACCATGTTTCTTGAAATTAATCTGAGGATAAAACTCACTGTGACGAGCTTGCGAGATGAGTGTGTAGCGTAAAATACAAACAGCAGCCATTTTAAAACTGACGAGATTTTACAAAATGGCTACGCATGTTGAAATAGTTTTAGTATTAAACCCAACAAATTCACTGCTCGTAAAAACAGGTAATTTTTGTAAATGTATCATTACACATTAAACCTTTCTCAAATCACGACTCAGAATTAAACATTATTTTTTATCATTTGAAAAGTGGGGGGTCCTGTTCATAATGTAAATACAGTGTCAAATCGATCTCTGACTTAAATGGTTACTGTACTTTGCTTTTATTTACAAATGTCAAGCCGTCCTGGGTATGACGATAAACTACATCCAACAGCAAGGCCTCCGATCATCTTTTAATTGCTGATGTTCCCATGTCCACCCTGACCCGGGGTGGTAGCGCATGTCAGTGTCCCAGTTATAGGCAAGTAGTTAACCCTCCAAAAGGGGTCAAAACACTATGAAAGTATAAAAATAGGTTTTAATACTTTTTTGGAAAAAAATTTTAACAGCAATACATTTTTGTAAAAAACGTACTTGTTTTGCTCGCTAGCAGTAGACACCAGGTATACCATCGACTGAGTAATGGTTGAAGTGGGACAATGGTATTAATGACAGTGCTAATAAATAGGCTGTTGCTGTTGAAATATCAGCGGAAAGCAGACTATGAAATGATTGCAAAAAAACAAGGTCTGTTTATAAAAAAAACTTTCCAAAATAACAGTTTTCGCAGGCTGCAAAGTCAATCCACATGGCCCCACAATCGTTGGCTGAATGAAGGTCAGGGTGCGGTATGCCAACGTCGTGATTTTCACGGAAGAAAGCCAAACACAGTAACCGGCGGAAGCTTGTCCCAACCTGCAAACCTACGGATTGTATCCTTCTATGTCGGTCTTTATCGGGAGACACAAAAGAGTTGACAATTTCAATCGGTAAAATTGTTAGCTGTAAGGAATCACAAAAATCTCTTGTCAGTTCCAACGAAAGGAGAAAAGATTTTCTGAATATTAAAACAGGACAATTTGGTCTTTGCTAGTGCAAAGGTGCGTCTTACGGCGAGAAGTGAACTGCGATATATATATATATATATATATATATATATATATATATATATATATGAAGAAATATAGTTTTAAGGTGTTCTATATTTATGGGATAAAGTGGTCAATATCAGAGATAGAGCGTATATAAATATGAATACAAAAGTAAACATTGAAGTCAACACTCAGAGGCGACAGGCTGTTTAGCATGAAACAACCTGTCGCCTCTGAGTATTGACTTCAATGTTCATATATATATATATATATATATATATATATATATATATATATTGAACAGTAAAAAAAATATTAAAAAATTAAAATCTTCAGACACACTGGGTTTTATATATTATTATTCCTTCATTATTACATTATTATTTCATTTAGATTCCTCGACTAGTTTCGGCCAACATGGACATCATCATAAGAAAAAGAATTTTCTGTTTGCTGGTAGAAGTGAACTACAGAAATGAATGTCTTGATGGAGAAAATGAACTTTTATCTGTAGTTTTCATTTCTTTTGTTTTTGTTTTTTTTTAACATGAATTTTGTTCAGTCCTTGTGTTGATCAAACAGTCTCTTTAAATTGTTATTTGAGATAAGAGCTGGATGGATTCATACTACTGGGAATTCCCTTGGTCATTTTGACAGATTTATTGGTTCCTGGATATATATATATATATATATATATCTGTGTGCGTGTGTGTGTGTGTGTGTGTGTGTGTGTGTGTGTGTGTGTGTGTGTGTGTGTGTGTGTGTGTGTGTGAATATTAACATGCAGATATGTGCAGCAAATGTTCCTTGGGTATCGTAGTTGATCTATCTATTACACTCTGTTCATATCTATCTATCTATCTATCTATCTATCTATCTATCTATCTATCTATCTCAATCTGTTCTTTATCTATCTATCTATCTATCTATCTATCACACTCTGTTCATATCTATCTATCTAGCTAGCTAGCTAGCTAGCTAGCTCATGCTCTGTTTCTATCTATCTATCTCAGTCTGTTCATATCTATCTATCTATCTATCTATCTATCTATCTATCTAGTTGATTGAAAGCCTGAAAAATTAATATTTACAATTATTATGTTGCCCCACGCCCAACGCTCAACGCTAATCATTGACGTGGTTGGTGACATGAACAAGTTGGTGGTTCATAGTAGGAAGATAGATAGATAGATAGATAGATAGATAGATAGATAGATAGATAGATAGATAGATATAAACAGTGACAAGAACGAACATAGAAAGATTCAAAAGTTCAATTGTCCGTTCGATATATTTCAGCAAGCTAAAGTCCTTATATCGAAATATGATCAAAACAGATTTAGGTACCTCCATAGATTCGTGATAAGTAAGATTTAAAATGAATTTCTAAAAATGAAAAATCTTTCTTGAAACTTTTATTTATTTTTAATTTCAAGCTAATGGAATAAATTTAAAAGATTTAAAACTTTATAATTATTCCAATTAAAATTTACAAAAATGAAAACAATTCTCATAAAAATCCATAATTTACCGGAAATGTTTTTTCCCCTGACAACAGTGTCTATAATATATCTTATTCATAAAGACAATTAAAAGCTTTTCAAATAATGTCGTATTTTTCTATCAGTAACAAGTAAAGATGGTGTTAACAGATGTAACAAAAATATTTTCATCAAGATTTTCTTAAAAAAAAATCATTTCTAAAATAATTTCATTCATTTGTGAATAAGTCCCTAGGGGTAAATTAAAATCTGACGATTAATGGATTTTTGCAAGAATTTCTAGATTAACGTGTTTTTCACCGCAAAAAAGAGGCTAAAATTTTCTATATACATCTTTGGCTCAGCCGTTGACTAAGATTTTTAACCAAAACTAGCTGCATGGCCCACCGTTCCTAGTGCTTGATTCAAAAATCGTACGACTCATACAGCAATCTCTATCACTTGACTTAAAATATTATTGCCCTTCCTTAAATTTAAATGAGTGCCCTTTGCCGTGCTGATGTTGCTACATGCTTTACTTCTTGCCTATCTCACATTGCGAATTTTTTCTTAGCTCTATACTAAACATTAAATCTGTTACGAAAAAAGAACTAAACAAAATCAACACAAAACGATCAACTTTAAAAAAGGACTCGTAACTGGAAAAAACGAATGAAAAAAGGATGTTAACAACAAATACTTTTCACACCCAACCCAGTTCTGCGGAATCAGAATCAACGTTGAGTTTAAGCAAGCGAATGAGCCAATTGGAGTAAAGTGCCATGCAGATTTAAATTTTTCCCACTTGTGACGAATGCAGCTATCGATTTTTTTTTTTTTGCATGCTAGCATGCTAGTTAACATTCGTTTCAGTCATCTGTTGACTCTCACGCTGGCCAATATAATCTTCCTGCTTATTCGTGGCAGCCAGCTATTGGCTCTCACTCTGGCCAGTGCAAAATGGACGCAAACTACATGAAAACTGCCGTAGAAGCCTGAAAAAAATCGATTATTTCCACTATCGATGGGAGTTTGGGAAATGCAAAGTCGCTTTTGGCCTTCCCGCTAACTTGGAGCATGTGCATGTAAATTTTGGTGCAAATCCGTCGAAAATTGCGGCCGTGCATTCGTCACACACACACACACGCAAGCACGCACACACGCACCTTTTAGGGGGGATAGCGAGCAGCTGCCTCGACACATTCTCTTGGATTTCCTCAACGTCAAGAAATCTTGTTTCGTATGAATGGCATTTGTTTTTTGGAAAGAAGTGAAAGTTGTAAGCGGCAACATCTATGGAATATAGTAGAATTTTGTGTTTAGCCATAAACTGCTGCACGAGCCATGGTCACTGATGACAGATCTTTGGTGCGGTGAGACGACTACACTCTACACACTTTCCTTCCAAAGACTGCTATAAACAACGGAAGTGAGCAAGAATGTTATAACTTAGTGCGCATGCGCAACAGAGTTTAATGGTCAATCTGTGCCAAGCAGCTTCCCTCGGCTTACTTTAGCTCCCTTACTATAGCAACAGTTCCGATATTTTTCGCTCAGACCTCGTATATAAAGAAAGATAGGGAATATTTGGCAAACAGCAAGGAAGCTTTCATCTCGAGAAAAGTCAGAGATGCTTTAATAAGAAAAAATTCATAGCGACCATATTTTTGGTGTGTGGGGGTAGTATTGTAAGAATTTCCATCTGATTACTATGGAACTAATCCATTTCGAAGCTCCAAGACCGTATCATCAGCAAAGACAGAAAACAAATAATTGGGTTTTGAAGAATTCTTGAAATTTCCAAATCAAAAGAAGAACAATGAAATCTTACTACAATCGCGTCTGACGCTAATTTCTTTTTCTGCTGAGCTATATTTCTGTCGTCACCTTTGTCTGACACAAGGCCTCAATTATGAAGCTTTTATAAAGGCTGTTGTGTCTCCAAATATAAGTCAATATTTGAATGATTTCATTAAGCAAAATCAATATGATTTTTATTCATGTTAAAATTCAACAGTATGAAAATAGACTAAACTAATAATAAAAGTAATAACGAAAAGTCTATCGACCCAGAGGGTTCGGATATAAACAATAATAATAAGATGGAATGCAACTAGCAATAATATAATAGTAATGATGAAGAGTGTATCGACCCAGTGTATTGGCATAAAAAGCAAAAATAATAAGATGGAATACATTTAGGAATAATAATAATAATAATAATAATGCAGATTCTGTGATAAATATCCAGAAACAATTGACCATCTTGTATCAGGTTGCAAGGTATTGGCTCCCAGTGAAGCTGAAACACGACATGATAGATTGGGCCAATATCTGCACTAGAAGATCTACAACTTTTACGGGAAGAAAACTGTAAGAAATTATGAACCCGGTTACACAGATCGGACCTGTAATAATTTGATGGGACTTTACAATACAAATAGACAGAACAATTAAAGCTAATCATGATCAAAGACCACAAAAAAAAAAAAGAAATGTGCTTTCTGATTGACATGACAGTCCTTGCAGATTGTAATGTATCTTTGAAGATCTTCAACAACAACAAAAAAAAAAAGAAAGAAACTATCAAAATACAAGGATCTTGAAGTGGAAATCTTAAAAACGTGGCTCATGAGTACATCAATAATTCCAGTAGTAGTTGGAACCCTCAGACTGATTGGAAAATATTACAATAGACTGACTGAAGGGATTCCTGGTAGGCATTGCCTTAAAGAAATATAAGAAAATGTACTCGCCAGAACAGCCTCACATTACGAAGAGCTTTATCTATATCTAAAATATGTGTGATATTAAAGTGGGGGTACGAAAATAATCAGTGGAAAATATCATGATGCCATTTCTGACCTTAGGTTTCTGGTTGGGACCCGGATGGAAATGTGTATGCAAAAGAAATCCAAGGAAATAATAATAATAATAATAATAATAATAATAATAATAATAATAATAAATGCGCTAAAGCCAGGATTTTACGAGGATCACAAAATCAAACCTCCTTATTAGCATAGACCCAAAGATTTAGAGCAGGAAAATTTTATAAGTACCTCGGTGCAAATGAGAGTGAAGGAATTTAGCATGAAAATGAAAGAAATAGGGCGAAAAAAAGTAGAATTGTGCGACTGATATTAAGAACTGAATTGAATTCTCAGAACAGAATTATGGCCATTAATAGCCTTACCATCGCAATGGTTCAATATAGTTTCAAAATCTTGAACTGGACTCTAAATGATATCAGGCGAATAGATTCTAAGACAAGAAAGCGTCTTTCTAAGCATGACATGAATCAACCAAAGACAGATACAGACCGTCTATACACAACCTGTAAAGAAGGTGGAAGATGTCTTATTCAGCTAGAATTGTCATACAAGACAACACCTATTGTCTTACTAACATACATGGAAACAACAAAGGATTGGGTGATACAATTAGACAAACAACACGAAAACAGAAAGAAAAATTATTCAATCATGAAAGAAGGTTGTAAATACAAACGAGATTTACATTTAGTAAATTCTGTAGAAAATCGAAACAGAATCCAAGAACCAAGTTTTGTAGGAAAAATTATGAAAAACAAAGCGAAGGATAAAGGTCTTGAAACAACACAGGCAAGATAAACCTTTGCATAAAAGTGATAATAAAGCCGATGTTGATAAAGAAAGTTAACACTCATCGATGGTTACGAACATCTGGATTAAAGGCTGCAACGGAAGGCTTTATTCTTGTAGCGCAAGACCAGAATCTTTTCACTGGGAACTTTCAGCCAAATATCATACATAATAGTGTGGATCCCAAATGCATGTTCTGTGACAAATATCAGGAAACCATAGACCATCTAATCTCAGGATGTTCTGTACTTGCACCAAATGAATATAAAAATCGTCACGATAGAGTGGGGCAATATTTACACTTGTCAAAGTGCAAACACTTTGAAAAAGATGTTAATAAACATTTGTATGAACATCACCCAGCACCGGTTACAGAAATAAAATCATCCCAATTCTACGGGATTACGCCATCTTTACAGACAGGAAGATTGAAGCAAATAGACCGGACATAATTGTCAAAAACCGTAAAGAAAAAGAAATTACCTACTAAATGATATGGTTTGCCCAAAGGACTATAACATAACAAGCAAAGAATTTGAAAATCTATCAAAGTTTAAGGACCTGGAAATCGTAATAGAAAAAATGTGGAAATTGAAAACAAGAATAGTACCAGTTCTGAGGTGCTCTTGGAATGATAAAAAAGGAACACAACAACACATTGAAAAAATCCCTGGGAATCCAAACTTAAGAGAAATACAAAAAAATGTCTTGATAAGTACAACCCACACACTAAGAAATACTTTGTCCACGTAACGTTATTGATGTTATGGAAGTTAGAAAAACAAATCATGAAATGTAGCCATAACAACACACCTCTTCCTGCTTTGGGTCTTCCCGCAGACTTGGTAGGTAGCGTAACCATAGCAGAAATCGAAATATAATAATAATAATAATAATAACAAATAAGTAAATAAATGCCTCAGTGCATATAGGAGTAAAGTAAATCCTAGGTTTAAATAATAATAATGTAATGTGTTGGTAGAAAAAGTTACTATGATAAGTTAAAATAAAAGATGGAATGAAACTAGTAATAAACTAATAGTAATATTGAAGAGTGTATCAACATAGAGTTTTGGGATAAAGAGCAACAGTAAGTATAACGAGAAATATCTCGTACATTCATAGCATTTACTTAAATACTTGTATCTATAAAAAAGAACGTTAAACATAAAAATGTCTTTAATAAATAAATTGTCGGACTTTGTCCATTTCTTAATATATGACGTCATTTGTTTACATTTGATACGCCAGAACAGTTATGAATGTACGAGATTCATGGAAGATTGAAGTTTATAAGCAGTAAATTCGACCTTGCCTACCGAACGCTCCTTTGTGGCCGAGTCGGTTAAGGCACGTCAGCGTAAATGACGGTTCCGTATAGGATGCAGGTTCGAATCCAGTCAAAGGGCGAATATTTTCTATGAAAATTTCTCGGACATTCAGGCCGGTAAATGTTATTTAATACTGTTTATTATAAAAAGAGCATTTACTTAAATACTTGTATCTATAAAAAAAGAACGTTAAACATAAAAATGTCTTTAATAAATAAATTGTCGGACTTTGTCCATTTCTTATATATATATATATATGTGGGATAATATATATATATATATATAGTTAGAGAGCCAGACAAACCTACCAAGGTTTCACCTAAGCAGATCGTCAAGGAAGGCCGGTTTTCCTGACGATCTGCTTAGGTTTAACTAGGTCTGTTCTACTCATTGTATTGAGCACTTTATTTAGTTATTTTGCGTACTCGCATCGGGTTTTTTTTCTTTGGTCCTAGGACTTGCAGGCTGAACGATTATTTTCGGCTAACGTACATGTTCTTGGTTCTTTCTTTTTTTTATACCCTTTTTTCCACTTTGGTATTGCCTTGTTTATTTGCAAATCAAGACACCGAAGGTTTTCCGAGCGAGTATAGTTTCTTATACTTATAAGATTTCTATTATTAATATATATATATATATATATATATATATATATATATATATATATATATATATATGGGATAACGATATATATATATAATTCTTAAAAATGTATGTGTGTGATCGGATGTTGTTTATGCGTTTCCACAGTTTTCATCCGATTTCGATGAAATTTCTTTTTGTTTGATAGATAATTCTTTAGTGCCGGTTTCGAGTCCAAATTGGCTGGAAAAATTACAGCATTGAAGGTGAAAGATCGAAAAAAAAGGCAAAATTTAATTTACTTTTTCACACATAACCTTTCAATCCTAGCTCATGCTGTGTGGGCGGGATTCACACCTCCACATATTGCCCATCCGTTGCTGCTGACCTTCATAATTAGCGCGTGCAGCAATGCGTGCACGTGTGGCCCTGCAACACGGGCTGTTTCACGTGATGTATCACGCGCTGATGCACGTGCATACGCATGACCTGCGGAACGCAACACTTGTTCGAGTTGCCCATTGGCTGCCCGGAGCTCCTTTACACGTCCAATCTAATGTCGCCCTCACATACTGATTGCCTACACAGTCCTAAGCTCATTGCTACCGCTTAATTACGCAATTCCGCTTCTACTTCTGTACGTCCAGCCCTGCTTACACATTCCCCTTCTGTTGGCCAAGCGCAATCTTTCTAAAGTGAGGTTACCTTTTCCGTTGCATAAAGCCTACTACTACAGTTTTAAGTCGTTGTTTTCATTGTCGTTTATAGCCGTTCCCAATTTCATTTTTTCTATTGTCCTGTCAGTTTTTGAGTTGCATTCACTGTAATAATAAGTAAGTTTTCTTTTTATTACTCAACATTTATTTTTCCAAACTTTCCTAAAGTTATTCGAGCTTAATAATCCCTGTAGCTTTACAGCGTTCTCTTCTGGTATTTGCCCATAAATTACATTTGACAATTCATACTTTCCTAAGACATGCCACCAAAGAAAAGAACTTGCCTAGGTCGCAAAACTGCTGCCGTCAGGTCTACCATGCGAATAAGAGATAATGAATCGTCTTTAGAACGTTCAGTCTGGTAGTCCCCGCCTGGAAGACCTCGTCTAGTAGTTCTCGCCTAATAGTCCCCCCCTGGTAGACCCCGGCTGGAAGTACTCGCCCGGTAGTCCTCGCCTGGAAGTGCCCGCCTGAAAGTTCTCGCCTGGCAGTCCTCTAATAGTAGTCCCCGCCTGGTAGTCCTCTCCTGATAATCCTCGCTTGGTAGTCCCCGCTTGGCAGTCCTCGCCTGGTAGTCCCCGACTGGAAGTCCTCGCCTGGAACTCTCCACCTGGTAGTCCTCTTCTGGTAATCCTCGCTTGGTAGTTCCCGGCTGGAAGTCCTCGCCTGGAAGTCCCCACCTGGTAGTCCTCGCCTGGTAGTCCTCGCTTGGTAGTCCTCGCCTGGTAGTCCCCGCTTGGAAGTCCTCGCCTGATAGTACCCCGCTGGAAGTCCTCGCCTGGAAGTCCCTGCCTGGTAGTCCCTGCCCAGTAGTCCCCGCCTGGTAGTCCCGGCCTGATAATCCCCGCCTGGTAGTCCTGGCCTGAAAGTCCTGGCCTGGAAGTCCCTGAAAGGGTAGTCCCCGCCTGGAATTCCTCGCCTGGTAGACCCCGCCTGCAAATCCCCGCCTGCTAGTCCCAGCCTGGTAGTCTGCGCCTGGTAGCCCCAGCTTGGAAGTCGCTGACTTGAAGTCCTCGCCTAATAGTTCCTGAAAGGGTAATTCCCGCCTGGCAGTCCTCTCCTTGTAGTCCTCACCTGGTAGTCCACGCCTGGAAGTCCCGGCCTCGAAGTCCACGCCTGGTAGCCACTGAAAGGGTAGTTCCCGCCTGGAATTCCTCGCTTGGTAGTCCACGACAGCAAATCCCTACTTGTCCCAGCCTTGTAGTTCCCGCCTGGTAGTCCCTACCTGGTAGTTCTCGCCTGGTAGTCCCCACTTGGAAGTCCTCGCCTGGTAGTCCCCGCCTGCAAATCCCCGCATGGTAGTCACAGCCTCGTAGTCCCCGCCTGAAAGTCCTAGCCTGGTAATGATCTATCGTAATCCCTGCCTGGTAATCCCCGCCTGGAAGTCCCTGCCTGGTAGTCACTGCCTGGTAGTCCCTACTTGGTGGTCGCCGTCTGGATGTCCCCGCCTGGTAATCCCATCCTGGAAGTCCTCACCTGGTAGTCCCTGCATGGTAGACTCTGCATGATCGTCCCTTGCTGGAAGTCCTTGCCTGGTAGTCCCCGCCTGGTAGTCACCGTCTGGTAGTCCCCACCTACGTAGACTGGGGGCAAAAATTATTCAAGCCCCCTCAGAACTTGTCCTTATTCTTATTGAATTATTTAAAGATGCTTTAAAGATGGGCTTCTTCTGTTCTATGTCAAAATGTGGACGATCATGCCTCACCACAGCTTCCTTTCCCTTGTGGCGCTTAGCAACGTTTCGCCTTTTGATATCAACCTCCGCCCGAGTCCCGTTCCGCCATTCACTCACACAAGGTCGTCAGGTAGTGGATTAGCTGCCTTACCCTGCCTCACTCTTGCACTCGATATGCTCTGTGAGGGTCAGGTTTAATTGGGTTTTTTTTTCTGACTATCTTCGCTTCCCTCTTTGTTTTTCAACTACTCTCTTCCTCACTCTCTCACATTTCCTTTCACTCTTTCGTATCTACCTATCCTTCTTCCTCCCTTTCTTCTTCTGATTATTTCTTTCTATATCTCCTCTTACCTTTCCTTTTTACGTTACTCTCTTTCCATCTTTCCTTTCCTTTCACTCTTTCCTCCCTTTCTTTCTTTTCTCCTTCTTGCCATCTTTCTCCTTCCTACTCTCTTTCTTTTTCTTCTTTTTCAACCAATCTCTCCTTTGCTCTCCTCCCCGTTTCCCCCTCTCTCTCTCTCAACCTTTCTCCATCAATTCTCCCCTCCCCCTGTCTAACATTTTTCTCCTTCTCTTCTCCCTCCGTCTTCCCCTTTCTTCTGCGGCTTATTAGTGGACATCATATCCTCTTTCCTTGTCAGTTTCGTTATTTTTTCCATCTCTCCTCTCACTTCAACTTTCTTACTCTCCTACTTCTTCACACACCTTTCCCTTTCCGATCTACCTCTCTCTGTTTCTTTCATTTATTTCTCCTCTCTTTTTCTTTCTCGTCCTCTTTCTTATTCCCACTCTCTTCACTTTCCTATCTACCTCTCTCTGCTTCTTTCATTTTCCATCTCTCTCTCTCTAACCCTTTTTCTTCTTTCCACTCTCTCTGCTGTTTTCATTTTCCACACTCTCTTCCCTTCTCTATCTACTCCCCCCTGTTTGTATCAGTTTCCCCCTCTTCCTTCTTCTTTCCCACCTGGCTTATTTCTACTCTTTTCCCTTCTCTATCTACTCCTCTCTGTTTCTATCATTTCCCCTATCCCTTCCTCTTACTCTCCATCTTTCTTTCTACTCTCTTCCCTTTTATATCTACTCCTCTTTGTTTCTATCATTTCCCACTCTCCCTTCTTCTTTCTCACCCTCCTCCTTTCTACTCTCTTTCTTTCTCTATCTCCTTCTCTCTGTTTCTATCATTACCCCCTCTCCCTTCTTTCCCACCCTCCTTCTTTCTACTAGCTTTCTTTCTCTATCTACTCCTCTCTGTTTCTATCATTTCCCACTCTCTCTTCTTTCTCACCCTCCTCCTTTCTACTCTCTTTCTTTCTCTGTCTCCTTCTCTCTGTTTCTATCACTTCCCCCTCTTCCTTCTTTATCACCCTCCTTTCTACTCTCTTCCCTTCTCTATCTACTCACTGTTTCTATCATATGCCTCCTCTCTCTCAAACTCCTTCTTCTCGATTGATCTTTATTCGTTTTTCAAAAGAACTTAACAATCATTGTCTAACGCAGGTTCTGCACAATTTCGAGTGACTGGCGACGCCATCTTTATTTTGTGTTGTTTTTTTTTCTTTCTTTTCGTGTTAACAAAAAGTTTTTTTTTATTTTAATCCTTTTTTCTTTCTTTCGATTCACAAACAAATGTAGGCTGGACATTCACTTAGAAGAGACAAAATAACAAAAATCACGCTTTAATTGGACTGTTTTTCGGTTTTCATTTATTTTTAAATGATTAGCAGTTTTTGTTTCCATTTGAAACCGAAATAAATTTTCCCATCCTCATTGTCTCTAAAATGAAGGCTAATAATAAAACTTCGCTTTTATAATGTCCGATATTGAAAAAAAAAATGTTAGCAAAAAAAGAAATCAAATTGTTTTTTTAGCTAGGTCTTTTTTTTCAAGAATTTTTAAAGAATTGATTTTTCATTGTGTTGACATCAGCAGTAACTGGCTGTTTCTATTCGAGATTAGGTGACAGCAATTCCTTTTCGATATTCCAGCACCTTCCTCAGTATCCCACTTTATATTAATAATGCCTTCATCATAATAGTTCGGTAGGAAATTCAGTTCTCCAGGTTTTTTTCATATTAAAAATTCGAACGTCAGTGTTCCAAACAATAATAAAATAAAAATAAAGGAAACATGGTCTCATGCCTGTTAAGAAAATCATTTATATTTACAAAGATATGTACATGATTGATCAAAAAAGAAATTTATTCTTTTTTCAAAGTTTTTTTAACAATCATTTAAAACTGAGTTTCTGCAAAACTTTGATCGTCAGCGAGGATTAACTGACTTCCATCTGTTATTTTGAGCTGATTTTTTTTGTTTCTTTTCGTGTTAACAAAAAAGGTTTTTTTATTTGCCACGTCTTTTTTTGAACGGATTGAAGACAGTTTCGATTCTAAAAACAAATGTAGGTTGGATATTAATTTTTAGAAGAGAAAATAACAAAAAAACGTTTTTTCTTTTTATGATTGGTCAAATTTTCGGTTTTCATTTAATTTTAAATGATTAGACATTTAAAGTTTTTGACTTTCCATTTGGAAACTTTTCTGGCAAATAAAACTGTCTGTTCCCATCCTCATTGTTTCTAAAATGAAGGATATTTAATGGAAAACGTTTCTTTAATAATGTCCGATATTGAAAAAAATGTTAGCAAAAAAAAAGAAATCAGAAAAAATTTTTTTTTAAAGGAATTTCAAAGTAAATTTTTTCAATTTTTTATAAAGACGTTTGATTGCGAGCGGTCGGTTGACATCAGGGTATTCTATGGTGGTTTCTATTTGAAGATTAGGGCGACAGCAGGGTTCGTCTTCGATATTCCAGCACCTTCCTCAGTATCCCACTTTATATTAATAATGCGAGCTTCATCATAATATGTCGGTAGGAAATTGTTCTCCAGGTTTTAGAATATTAAAGGGTGAACGTCAGTGTTCCAAATAATAATAAAATAAAAATAAATGGAAACATGATCTCAGCGGTCGGTTAAGAAAATCATTTATATTTACAAAGATATGTACATGATCCAAAAAAGACGTTCAAAGGAAATAAAATGATTCTTTAGCGGTCGGTTAAAGTTTTGGATGATTAATTGGAGCGGTCAGTTAAAACTGAGTTTGAGGAAATTCGGCTTTGAAGATGCAGCGATGATTAACTGACTGGTCGGCTTAGAAGATGCGAGGTTGATTTGAGCTGCGGTCGGTTTGAAGACACATGTTTATTTTGCGGTACACTTTGAAGATGGGCGTTTGATTATGTTGCGAGCGGTCGGCTTTGAAGTTTGAGGGGATTTGAAGACGGTTGTCTTCTCTGCTGCTAAAAATCGAAATGCGTGAGTTTTTATAATAATTTTTTCCCCGAAAGTAGACACAAGAAAATAGTTTTTCTTTTTTATGATTGGTCAAATATTTCACATGGTGATGTTAATTTTTAACCAATAGACATTTAAACGGTGACTGTCGTATTGTGGAATCTTTTGAAGCATGATTTATAAATAGCGGTCGGGTTACCGGGTAAGTTACTGGTGATGTTTTAAGAAGAGGCTGATGTTGGAATTAGCGTTTCTTAGAAGGTGCCCAGGATAATTCTATTGCGACCTTCCCTTAGAATATCAATGATTCTCCTGATATTGGTCGGCAGAACAAAATTTTTGTAGCATTTTTTAAAGAAATTTCATTCTGCTTTAAATATTTTTTTTATTTATTGTAAATGGCGTTTTGACTGAGGGTGATTCTATTTGTGAGCGGTCGGCTTTGAAGATGCCGATGGTGATTCTATTGTGAGCATTCGGCTTTGAAGATGCCGAGGGTGATTCTATTGTGAGCGTTCGGCTTTGAAGATGCCGAGGGTGATTCTATTGTGAGCGTTCGGCTTAGAAGATGCCGAGGATGATTCTATTGCGAGCGTTCGGCTTTGAAGATGCCGAGGGTGATTCTATTGTGAGCGTTCGTCTTAGAAGATGCCGAGGGTGATTCTATTGCGAGCGGTCGGTTTAGAAGATGCTGAGGTTGATTCTATTGCGAGCGGTCGGCTTAGAAGAGGCTTACAGTGATTCTATTGTGAGCATTCAGCTTTGAAGATAACGAGGGTGATTCTATTGCGAGCGGTCGGGTTAGAAGATGCCGATGGTGATTCTACTGCGAGATGTTGGCTTAGAAGAGGCTGAGGGTGATTCTATTGTCAGCGTTCCTCTTAGAAGGTGCCCAGGATGATTCTATTGCGAGCGGTCGGCTTAGAAGATGCCGAGGATGATTCTATTGCGAGCGGTCGGCTTAGAAGATGCCGAGGGTGATTCTATTGTGAGCGTTCGACTTAGAAATGTCTGAGGGTGATTATATTGTGAGCGTTCGGCTTAGAAGATGCCGAGGGTGATTCTATTGGGAGTGGTCGGCTTAGAAGATGCTATTGCGAGTGGTGATTCTACTGCGGGTGATTATATCGTGAGCGTTCGGCTTAGAAGGGCCGAGGGTGATTCTATTGTGAGCGTTCGGCTTAGAAGATGCCGAGGGTGATTCTATTGTGAGCATTCGGCTTTGAAGATGTCGAGGGTGATTCTGTTGCGAGCGTTCGGCTTAGAAGGTGCCGAGGGTGATTCTATTGGGAGTGGTCGGCTTAGAAGAAAGCCGAGGGTGATTCTATTGCGAGTGGTCGGCTTAGAAGAAGCCGAGGGTGATTCTATTGTGAGCGTTCGGCTTAGAAGATGCCGAGGGTGATTCTATTGTGAGCATTCGGCTTTGAAGATGCCGAGGGTGATTCTATTGCGAGCGGTCGGCTTAGAAAATGCCGAGGATGATTCTATTGCGAGCGGTCGGCTTAGAAGATGCCGAGGGTGATTATATTGTGAGCATTCGGCTTAGAAGATGCCGAGGGTTATTCTATTGTGAGCATTCTGCATTGAAACGGCCGAGGTTGATTCTATTGCGAGTGGTCGGCTTAGAAGAGACTGAGGGTGATTCTATTGTGAGCGTTCATCTTAGAAGGTGCCGAGGATGATTCTATTGCGGGCGGCTGGCTTAGAAGAGGCCGAGGGTGATTCATTTGCGAGCGTTCGTCTTAGAAGATGCCGAGGGTGATTCTATTGCAAGTGGTCGGCTTAGAAGAGGCTGAGGGTGATTCTATTGTGAGCGTTCGGCTTAGAAGATGCCGAGGGTGATTCTATTGTGAGTATTCGGCTTTGAAGATGTCGAGGGTGATTCTATTGTGATCATTCATCTTAGAAGATGCCGAGGGTGATTTTATTGCGAGCGGTCGGCTTAGGAGAGGCTGAGTGTGATTCTATTGTGAGCGGTCGATTTAGAAGATGCCGAGGATGATTCTATTGCAAGCGATCGGCTTAGAAGATGCCGAGGGTGATTCTATTGTGAGTGTTCGTCTTAGAAGATGCCGAGTGTGATTCTATTGTGAGCATTCGGTTTTGAAGATGCCGAGGGTCATTCTATTGCGAGCGGTCGGCTTAGAAGAGGCTAAGGGTGATTCTATCGCAAGTGGTCGGCTTAGAAGAGGCTGAGAGTGATTCTATTGTGAGCGTTCGGCTTAGAAGGTGCCGAGAATGATTCTATTGCGAGCGGTCGGCTTTAGAAGAGGCCGATGGTGATTCTATTGTGAGCGTTCGTCTTAGAAGATGCCGATGGGTGATTCTATTGCAAGAGTTCGGCTTTGAAGATGGTGATTCTGAGAGCATTCGGCTTTCGAGGGTGATTTCTATTGTGAGCGTTCGGCTGAGAAGTTGCCGAGGGTGATTCTATTGTGAGTATTCGGCTTTGAAGATGCCGAGGGTGATTCTATTGTGAGCGTTCGGCTTAGAAGATGCCGAGGGTGATTCTATTGCGAGTGGTCGGCTTAGAAGATGCCGAGGGTGATTCTATTGTGAGCGTTCGGCTTAGAAGATGCCGAGGGTGATTCTATTGGGAGTGGATTCGGTTTTGAAGATGCCGAGGGTCATTCTATTGCGAGCGGTCGGCTCAGAAGATGCCGAGGGTGATTCTATTGTGAGTGTTCGTCCTAGAAGATGCCGAGGGTCATTCTATTATGACCGGTCGTCTCAGAAGATGCCGAGGGTGATTCTATTGTGAGCGTTCGGCTTAGAAGATGTCGAGGGTGATTCTATTGCGTGCGGTCGGCTTAGAAGATGCTGAGGTTGATTCTATTGCGAGCGGTCGGCTTAGAAGAATGCTGTGGGTGATTTTGCTGTGAGCGTTCGGCTTGAAGATGCCGAGGAGGATTCTATTGCGAGCGGTCGGCTTAGAAGATGCCGAGGGTGATTCTATTGTAAGCGGTCGGCTTAGAAGATGCCGAGGTTTATTCTATTGTGAGCATTCGCCTTGAAGATGCCGTGGGTGATTGTATTGCGAGCGCTCGGCTTAGAAGATGCCGAGGGTGATTCTGTAGCATCTCATTTCAAAAGCTTGGATTGTTCACTGTAAATCTGCTTTTAATTTCCAAGATTCGAGGGGTTTGACGTGGGTTCCTATC